ATCGGGTACGGGTAAAACTCGATATATTAAATCGGGTACGGGTACGAGTATGTACTTACCTGCCCCGTACCCGTACCCGTACCTGTCCTCATTCTCATTTTTAATTTAATACTCACTTTTAATTTAATTATTAAAAAATTTTAATATTTTTTTATATGTGATTATTTATTATAATATGAAATAGAAAAATAACTTAATTATAATTATAATATAATAACAAAAATAATTTAAAAATATCATATTTTTCTTAAAAAAAATAAAAAATAAAAAAATTCACGATATACCTGATACCCTATGGGATGTGGATGAGGATGAAAATCATATATGAGTATGGGTACAGGAACAGAGATGATTTGACTCGCAATGATAGAGATATGTATCATGAAACCCGTACCCGACCCGTTGTGTTGTCATCTCTAGTCACAACGAATATCTTGTTAATAAGATATAATTTTAATAAAATTATTTATTTTTTAGATTATAAATTTATATTTTAAAATATTATATATATATATATTTATTTATTTATTTAAGAGATCCTTATATATTCATTCGTTCACGGTCTCTAAAATGTCAGGACCGACCCTGCGCCCACCACCAGCTTTGGCACAGGCGTATGTATCAGTATCAGAGAGACGAGCAGAACTTTTGTGACAGCTCTCACAACATGCCATAATGGCACAGTACCAACCCACCAAGTAGAGGCCTGCTTAGCTCTACATCACGTCATTAACTTATCCAACTTCCGTGCTTTACGAAAACTCTTCTAGTAAGGACAAAATGTCAAATTCCATGGTAATTAATTGCAGATAAAGATAATTAAATATGCAGGAATCTGCTCATATAATACACCAGGCCCACCAAAACAAAACAAGGAAGATATTTTCGTCACTTTCGTTTGACATTTCAAGTTAAAGACAAAAAGCTTTTAACACCAATAATTAATTTTTCTATACAGGGTGGTAAAGAAAGTCCAATTTTTCCTTTCCCTTCTTCTAAACAGTCCAGTTCTAACATGTTTTGTCCATACACACTTCTCATCTTTAATTGTAATTTCTACCATTCAATGAATCTGATGAGGTGAATCGTGGAAGGAGAATTATTAAAAAAATTCTTTTTACGCTAACATTCAATGAGTCTGCTGATAAGGTGAAAGTGAACCATGGAAGGAGAATTATTCAAAAAATTCTTTTTACACCAACTTTCAGAACATGTAATGTTTCATTACAGCAACATTACTTTCTTATATATACAAGAAACAAACCACAATAGAAGCAAATTAAGAATTTTTATAAGTAATTATTTATAAATGTCAAAAATCATGATGTTTATCTATTAATTATTTCTAAAAATCATGATTTTTATTATTTATATTTTTTAAGAATCATGATTTCTACCTATAAAAAAACTTATTCCCTACTAAATACTTTCGGGTTTTGTAACTTTTAATTTTCATAGATAAATATATAATAAAATAAGGAAGAATAATTTAACTTTTATTTTATAAATAAATAGATATAATATTTTTCACACATTTCAAGAAAAATGTTTCACATAATATGCCTTTTAATTAAAAAAAATTCTGTTTTTTTTTTTAAGTCATCAACAAATCAATTACTTTTAGCGTTTTTTAATTTATTATTTAACCGATCATATGGGAGCTCATTTTTTAAAGTTCTGTACTATATAGTATAGCAATGCAATCAAGCCTGACATGCCAGATAAATGATTTTTGTCTCTTATTATATTATTGAAATTTGATTGAATGAAAAAAATATATTTTTTTAACAATTTCGCCTTCTTTATTTTATTTTAAAATTCGAGAATAAACATTTGAATTCCTAATGTATGCTGGAAAAAAAACTAGCATGTAACTTTTTTTATTTAAAATAAAAAAGTCTCTTTCAAAATTTATTTTAGATCAGATTTATCAAATAAAATATCATAAAATTGTTTTCATCAAATTTATCAAAACAAAACTTCATTTTAACTATAATTAATTATAATAATAATTGATTGATTCTTAAAATAATTTAACGTCAGTGGAGAAAGATCTTGTCAAATTTTTCTCTCTTGCTCTAAAACGTTCTTTCCCTGTCTCTAGACGTAAACTTCTGATTTATATATAGGTAGGGGCCGGGAATTTCTACGCAACGAATCTAATGAGTTGTAAGCCGAATCATTCAAAATTATCTTTTTGATAATTTGAACGAGACGTGACATTTGATTGCTGCTGCACTTAGGCTTTGTTTGGATTTGAAGATAGAAAAGAGAGAGTGAAAAAAGAGAGAATTGAAAGGAAGGTGAGTGGAAAATAAGGTTGTTTGGATTAAGGGAAAGTGAGTGGGAAATGTAGAGAAAGTTTATAAAAGTTTGTGAGTGAATTGATTGATGTGATAGATAAAAATAAATTTTTTAATTAATAATTGTGTAAAATTACTATTTTGCCCTTAGGTTAAATTTTTTTATTATAATTATTATAATTAAAATATAAATATATAAATTTTAACTAAAAAAATAAATATAAAATATTAATTTAAAAATAATTTAATTTAAATATTTGCTTTAAATTTAATGAGATAAAAATTAAAAATTTAATAGATGAATATGTAATTTATACTTTTACTCTTGAATTAAAAATGAGTATAATATTATTTATTGTAAATAATAATAATTACAATAAATTTATATTAATAGGTATAATTTATTAAAAAAAATAATAAATAATGATAAGAATAATAATAAATATTAGAAAAATAATAAGAATTATAATAAATAATAATAATACTAATTATAATAAATAATAAATATTAATAATAATGAAAATAATAATAATAATATTTATAATAATAAATAATAAAAAAATATATATTATGATAATTATATTTTCTAATATTATTTTATTAATGTTTATGAAAGTGTTAATTGTACAAGTTAATTAATGTTCTCTATCTTCTCACTTATATATATATATATATATATATATATATGAAAACTCTTATTTATTAACAAATCAATGCGGCCAGAACGGCCCGTTTCGATTCCGGAACGGTCGTTTTGGCGTCATTTTTCATGCTAAAAATTGATACTCAGAACGGCCCGTTCTCAAATTGGAACGAGTCGTTCTGATTTCGCATATTGCTCATAAAACTGATTTTTGGAACGAGCCGTTCTGCTTTTGCCTGGAAACGAAAACAGCCTACCATAATCAATTATGCAAGCACATAATCGATTATGCTGAGCCACATAATCGATTATGGGCTTGCATAATCGATTATGTCCTCAGCATAATCGATTATGCTTCGTTCCTTTGTTGTATGGCACATGCATGGGACAGGGGTATTATGGAATTTTCTCAAATCTTACGTGGCTTTCATCTTTTTTCTTTGCAAAAATGCGAAGAAGCCCAATGCCCCTTCTCCCTCTTTTCTTCGCCTTTCTTTCCTCGTAAATCAGTAGAAACAAACGTGAAATTTTCTCGCCTTTCGTTCGTCGTGAACAGTAAATCAGCGGAAACAAACACTACCTTAGACTTTGTTTGGATTTGAAGATGGAAAAGGGGGAGTGGAAAAGGAGAGATTTGAAGGGAAAGTGAGTGGAAAGTGAGGTTGTTTGGATTAAGGGAAAGTGAGTGGAAAGTGTAGAGAAAGTTTGTGAAAGTTTGTGAGAGAATTGATTGATGTGATAGATAAAAATAAATTTTTTAATTGATAATTGTGTAAGATTACTATTTTGCCCTTAGGTTAAATTTTTTTTATAATTATTATAATTAAAATATAAATATATAAATTTTAACTAAAAAAATTATAAAAAATTAATTTAAAAATAAATTAATTTAAATATTTGCTTTAAATTTAATGATAGATAAAAAATAAAAATTTAAGAGATGAATATATAATTTACACTTTTACCCTTGGATTAAAAATGAGTATAATATTATTTATTGTAATTAATAATAATTACAATAAAATTATATTAATAGG